TCTCACAATAAACATCTTACTCTCTGATTCCATGGCTCCTGCGTCTTTCCCTCACAACATATGTAAAAGGGAGGGCTTATTTTGGGGGGAGGATTTATTTTAGTGCATGTGCTCAAAAGCCCAATTGGGCTTATTATTTGGTGAGGCCTTATTTCCAGGAAAACAAGGTATAAGAGAAGAAACTTGCTAATTAACTAAGAAGTTCTATAGAGACAGCATCCAGATCAACTGTAGTTAATCAGCTGCTTCTAAGAATTTTTATATTTTATATTTATATCTTTTACTTCTTTATTGTTTTACAGTGGGAGTTTTCTTCTTCTTCTTTACTTATTGTTTGTTTTTTACACTGTATACTGCCCAGAGTCATGTTGCTTAAGTTGTGGCAGCCTCATAAATAAATAAAACTTCTTGAAACTAGGGTAGGCTTAAACAACATGCAAAAAAATCACATCTGAAATTGAAAAAAACTCCAAAACCCCAGTGTTTCTTTTCACATAGTAATCCAAACAAACGACCTGTTATGGCTTAATGTAATGGTCTACTTTATATTACAAAATGACTGAGTTTGTAGAGCATACTGAAGCCAAATTAGATTAGATTGTACAGTGGGTGGGGGAAAATAAAAAAGGGTGATAAAAGAAGGGTTGCACCAATTTTAACACCAATTTTGAACTTTGTATACAAACACAGTATGCATACTAAGGGGCAAAGTTTTCAGTACAAAGTGCTTTTCATTAAATACTCCCTTGACCCCTCTTGCAGACATCTTAGTGATGAGAAATCTGATGATGTTGAAGTAATAAGGGCTGCCATTAGATGAAATGTGGAACTCTGTAACATACAACTAGAGGTGCTTTTCTGACTGTGGGGACATACTGGTTGATTCCTTTACACAGATATCCCCTGAATTCCACTTTTTAGCCCATTGCTCCCTAACACTCATCCCATAATCACTTCCCAGGTAACATTGCAATGTTTTCTAGATAAGCCTGTCCTTGAAGAGCACTTAGAAACTTCAGCTGGTGCAGGATGTGATGGCGCATTCTATGTTTTGTACTTCAAAGTTTGCCCTAGTCTTAAGATGGGCAGAAAAATATATTTGATAAATTATATAGGTAGGTAGGTAGGTAGGTAGGTAGGTAGGTAGGTAGGTAGGTAGGTAGGTAGGTAGGTAGGTAGGTAGGTAGGTAGGTAGGTAGANAGATAGATAGATAGATAGATAGATAGATAGATAGATAGATAGATAGATAGATAGATAGATAGATAGATAGATAGATAGATAGATAAAGACAGACATTAGGTTCAGTGTGGTATTGGGCAGATTTCAAATTGGATTTAGGTCTAGCACTAAATGCAATCCTAGATCTATTGCTGGGAAATAAATCATTTTATCTTTTGTACCTGTCTTCATTAAATTTGCTAAAAAAAAGAAATTGTTTATGATTTTGTTGAAAATAACATTTTGGGGGGAGGGCGGGATTATTCAGTGGAGCATAGTGTTCTTGTATTTATGGCTTTAGTATATTTGTAAAGAATCACACAAATACATCCCCTGTTTTCTCACACTTCAATGAAACCTGAAGTGAAGCCATCATGGGGAAATGTCACTTAGCAGATTTTTAAAGCAATGCCTAGTCTAGTTAGTATTTCAGTGGTGGATGACCAGGGAACATGAAGAACATAGGCTAAATGAGAAAATTGAAAATATACCCCTGAAGAAGGAAATGGCAAAATGCTACCATTCTTTTGCCACTTCTACAACCACCCTAGCCTCTCTGAGACAAAGAATATAATGTAATCTGAAATCTGACCAGGTAATGTCCAGTTTAGTCATATGAAGTCTCCTCTACATATTTTATTTTAAAACAATGATTAAATTAAACTTTAATTTTAGAAAATCTTTTTCTTCTCATCTTTTCATTTCTTTGATTGATATTCAAAAGTGGATCATTACCTTGAGGCTTGAGTTGAAAACAATGTGGAGTTACACCAGCTTTTTATCCAAACTTTAAACGTTCCAGTAATGTATAAAGGCAAGTTTCTTATTAAGATAACAGTTGAAATGTGAGTGAAACACAATAATTTATCATAAATCTGTAAAAATGCAGATACTACATTCTATTTCACAATATTTTCTAATGTACATATAAATTCTACACCATAGATTAAGAATAGCCTCAATACTTTTTTTTTAAGGAAAGTTCTAAAACCCTGGCCTTTCTAGCAGGTTAGGGACAGGAAACCTTATGACCCGACATTTGATTTTGATATTTTAACTTTTTTTTATTTCCCTGATGTGCCATTTTATTGCTTTATTATTATCATTTCCTTCTTATTTGTTTAAAATGTGTTCTAAACTTTTTTTATATTATACCTGAAGTTACTTTTGTGTTGAGGCATATTATAAATCCAATTGCTAACTAATAGTAACTCTAGTAACTCTACTTAGTAACAATAGTAACTCTACTTACTAACAAAAAGCATATTTCTGCTTCCAGTGCAATCTTGGAATATTTTTAGGCTGCTATTGGAAGCAATTCCAACCAATTAAATGTGGCTAACATTTTGTTAAAATATATAAAACATTTGATTCTGGTTTACATTAAAAAGTTGTGGGGTTTTTTCTTCTTACTTTTGTCTGATTAATTACATTGAAGATAGGATAAAACAAACATTTTAGGTAACATCATGTCCTCTTGCAATGGCCGAAAGTCACTCTTACATTGTTTATCCAAATTAAATTTCCCAATATTTGCCAAAATTATAAAATCTCATGAGATTTTATTAATATCGCTCCTGAATATTTCTGCATATCATTCTCACACTTAGAGGGGAGTCATTGTAGCATGTATGACAATATTGGCTTTGTGATTCCAAAATGGTTATGTGGATGCATCTAACACCTGTCTTTCTCTCTCTCTCCAAGATCTTGAAAACTTTGAAACTAAAGCAAGAAGCGCTGTATCAGTCAGAGAGGGACAAGGAGTCGTTCTATTCTGTGCATCTCCACCACACTATGGAGGTAATAAAAGGCATTTTGCATTATATTCTTCAGTATTTGCCAGCATGAAGAATAGATGTGTAGAAAGTCCTATGAATTTTTATGTGTATAGGATTTGGGGACAAAATCTCATTTAGTGCTTGAACGTGCCTGCTATGATTTATGATAGCAGTGGCTGGATCTGCCCTTTTCATTCCCCCCCCCCCCCCCCAAATAGGTAGTTTATAGTGAAATTTGTAAATTTGAGTAAGATTTTTTTGTATTACTTTTTAAACAAAAACTGAACAACATCTTTTGAACCAGTCAAATTCAGTAAGTATGGTCATTTCCACATTGTAAAGATTTACTGCATTTTTTTGTCCTGTTTATAAAGAAAGAAGCAAATTTTTATCAAGTATTTGTGAAAGCATAAATTGTGTTTTATTTGTGTTTGGAATTGTAAATAATTCTCTCCAGTTCTTGATTTATGATAGGATATAAGAAAATACTATTTTCTTTGCCTTCTGATCCATCCTCTCCACAATGCTGAGTAATGATAAGTTAATACAACTATCTAGTGTCAAACTCAAGGCTCAGGGCTGGATCCGGTCCTTGGGTTGCTTAGATCTGGCCCATGGAAACAGCGAAGGTCATGGTGCCTCTGTCACAAAAACAGAGCTTGGGAGGGCTGTGTGTAGCCCTCCCGAGTTCTGTTTTCATTGGCAGAGGGTTGCCGGAGGCTGCTGCAGCAGAAAACGGAACTCACAAGGGCCATCTGCAGCTCTCCCAAGCTCCGTTTTTGCTGGCAGAGGTTTGCAGGAGGCAGTCACAGTCTAAAATGAAGTTAAGGACTCCATTTTTGCTGGCAGAGCATTTGGGCCACCACAGACACCCCTGACATGAGTGACATTGAGCTGGCCATCCCAACCATGGCCACTTCCCCCTGTCCCCCTCAGATCAAACACAACCCTGATGCAGCCCTCAATGACATAGAGTTTGTTACCTCTGATCTAGAGAAAGCTGCAGAGGCAATAATCGAGACTGCAGTAGAGACTTTTAGCAATTTATCATGGCCTTGGATACACTGAATAAGAAACAGAAAATAGAATTTTGTGGCAGCCTATTATGATCTATGTACATATCATCACTGTACTTATACTATGATGGATTATACTTCTAATGTACAATTATCAAATAACAGATTTAAAATGATCTCTGTTTCCATCGTCTTTTACTGCTCCATCGCAAGCAATTTTTCATAATTCTAACTGAACTGCATCACTGATGCTTTCTAATTAATACATTTTATTTTCATACTTAGTTGAAGTTCCTCATTTTTTCATACTAAGGTAAATCATTCAATGCATTTGGCAAATATGGATTATTTGAAATATGGCTTCCAAGAAGAGAAAGACCAAGCCTCTCGGCCTCTGGCTCTAAAAAGATAAAAGATTTCCAAACCTTGCTTCAATTATAGGAAGAAGGAAGGAAGGAAGGAAGGAAGGAAGGAAGGAAGGAAGGAAGGAAGGAAGGAAGGAAGGAAGGAAGG